GTTTCCGTTCCTTTTCCCACTGTCACTCCTAAAGCCCCTGGGTGACAGGCTTTTTAAATAGCTTTACATGCCGGTGCTGGAAGCATCTTGACATAGTACTATAGTTCATGTGAGGGCCAAGCAAAGGAGAGTGGCTACATTCCCACATACAATAGGACCCTGATGGTTGAAGGTAGCCACCCTCATCAAGGAACACAGAGCTAATGTAATTTAAGCAGACACAGATGAATAACAACTAGGGTGTGGAATGTTATATTTTTGTAATTAAGTGACACTTTGGGGTCTGTATATAATGTAGCACTACCCCTTTGGGGGTTGATAAGGATTTGAGTCCTGAAATCAGCATTCTCCATACAAGCTTGCATCCAGACTCATGAATCAGTCCTGGAGCTTTGTTTTTATGGTTTATTGAGGGGACTTTGAACTGGGATAAGGTTGGGGGCGTACAGCATGCCCGATTATTGAGGACAAACTCCCTGGAACTATTTACAAGCTTTCTCTTTTGCAGCACAGTCTCTATTGGAGAGCTAGCCAGCATCTCCACAATGTACCACCCCAGACCCTAGATGAAATTCTCTTCTTCGCCCAGCAATCTGAAGGTTTTCCTGAGCAGGGGATCCGGTTCCTGTACCTTTAAATAGGCGATCAGTCACTAGTAGGGTGCTAATCCGGTTTCCCACCAGAGTGCTTCTTCCCCTATCTGCCCAGGGGGTGTAGGTGTACTCACTCCGATCCTCTCCTTTACCACTTGTGGGTTGGCTGCTGCTTCCAGGCTATCAGCCAGTGAGTTCAAAGCTTTCTGCCTTTCCAGCTCCAGGCTCGCAGGCTCACATCTTCCTCTTGAACTCTCTCTCCAACTCTCCACACTCCTCACTATGAGCAGGCTTCAACACTTTTTAAGGGTGTCCAGCCCCTTGACAACCTCTTGTTGGGGATTGGCTAGGACCCCTCAAGAGTGCAGCCAGCCACTCCTCAGATCCACCCACTGCCTCTAGAAACTTCCTCCAAAGCTCCAGAGCAGGGGGAAATTCCAAAGGGGCTGGCCTGCAGAACCTCTCAGCCCTGACCACAATTTGACCCCTCTGGCTATTACACCTGAGCTGCTACTCAGCTTCTGTCTAACCATTAGTATCTAGCTCCCCCTAGCTAAACTAGGAGGGTGCTACAATAAAAAAATGTGTTTTTCAGATGTCTCAACATTTGTGTAAGTGCAACGAATAATACTATGTTTGTAATACGTGTGTAATAGTTCCCTTGTTGCGTTTGTGAATGTAACCTTCCCTAACATTTGACCCTAAAAGAAAAATAGCCCTAGACCATTCCACCATGAGTTATTACTCACCAATAGGGAAAACAGCCTAACACTGTAGGCTAAGAACATTCAACCAGCAGAGAATATTAAATGGTTGGTTGGTCAGGTTGAATAAAGATACCAGTCCATTCAGTTTCAACCTGTGTAGTTGTGTGTTCATATCAAAAACATTGTCCTTATCCCTGTATACTGTGTTTGTCAAGATACCTGTCCAAGAGTTTTTTAAAACTATTGATGCTTCCTGCTGAGACCACTGATTGTGGAAGTGAGTTCCACATCCTTATCTCCCTGACAGTGAAAACCCCCCTACACAGTTTAAGGTGATACCATTTCTCCTTCAATTTCATCGAGAGGCCTCGTGTCTTGTTACACTCCCTGAGACAGAAAAGTTTAATCCCTCTGCTAGAATCACCATTGGGGTATTTGTATATTGCTATCATATCTCCTCTCAAGCATCTCTTCTCCAGGGAGAATAAGTTTAGTGTTTGTAATCGTTCCTTATAACTGAGGTCCTCCAGTTCCCTTATAAACTTTGTTGCCCTTCTCTGGACTCTCTGCAATTCCAGCACCTCCCTCCTGAGGACTGGTGACCAGAACTGGACGGCATACTCCAGATGGGACTGAACAAGAGTTTTGTAAAGTGGCGGGATTATAGTTTTATCTCTTGCTTATATTCCCTTTTTAATGCATGCTAATATTTTGTTTGCTGCAGCTTGGCATTGCATGCCATTGCTGAGTCTGCCATCTACTAGGACCCCCAGATTTTTTTCCATCCTGCATTCTCCCAGAGGTTCTCCCCCTCGCAAGCGATTTGCATTAATATTTTTAGTCCCCAGGTGCATTACTTTACATTTTTTAACATTAAACCTCATTTGCCATGCATTTGCCCACCCCATTATTTTAATGAGGTCTTCTTGTAAAGTATCTATATCTTATTGTCCTACTTAGCTTTGTATCATCAGCAAACACTGAGATTGAGCTATTTATACCAACCTCTATATCATTAATGAAAAAATTAAACAGAATTGGTCCTATGACAGAGCCTTACCACTTCAGTCAAGTCTAAGTACTCGCTATTTATTACCACCCTGCACCCCTGTAACCAGTTTTCTATACATATACTGTGCAAACCCTATGGTCCATGCCTGTCAGTATGCTGTCTGTAAAACTTAGGAATTGCAGGCTGGCTATAACCTGACTGAGTTCTTTGAGGACTCTCGCTTGTGAGCCATCAGTACTTGGTTATTTGTGTTTGAGATTTTCTATTCTTTTTTTGGACACTGTCTTCTGTTAGTCACAAGGGTACGTTCTGTGATGTGTTACTAATGATTTAGTCTTGATTACTACACCCCTCCTTTTCCTTTGTAAAAACTGATACGAAGAATCTATTTAGTACACTTACCTTCTCCTTGTTAATTTGTAACCAGCTTCCCTTCATCATCCTCTATGGGGCCAATATGTTCTGACCTTGCTTTTTTTCTATTAATATATTTAAAACATGTCTTGGGATTCTTTTTACTCTCCTCTGCTATGTGTCTCTCATAGTCTTTTTTAGCCACCCTGATTGCTTTCTTACACTTTGTATTGCATTCCTTGTAGTGTTGGAATCAGAGGCGGACTGACCATTTGGAAACTCAAGCACTGCCCGAGGGTCCGGGGTCAGTAAGGGGCCCCATGAGATGCCCCTGGTACCTTTTTCATAGGCTTTTTTGAGTTTGGGCAAGGACACAGGGGCCCCATGATCCCCTATTGCCTGGGGGCCCCATGAGTTGTCAGTCCGCCCCTGGTTGGAATGCAGTCAATGACTCCTCTGCCTTATATTCCTTGAGACCGGGTTCACACTAATGTGGTGCGAATTACATGTGATGTTTGTGTGGTGCAGGACCCTTTTTTTTACCCACACCCGAACACCAATGTGATGCGATTCCTTGCAATTGCACTGTGGTTTGCGATCTGTTTTGGGGTATCATTAATTTAACATTGACACCCGAACCAGATCGCAAGAACGCAATGCGATTGCAATGCGGTGCCGGAAACGCACAGGATTCGCAGACTTCCCGCACTGCATCAGTGTGAACCCAATCTAAAGGTCATTTTTTTTTTCTTTGATATGTCCTTTTACATAAAATTTTAGCCACCCAGGTTTAACCCTTACTCTTTTATATTTATTGCCCATTGGAAAACACTGGATAATACCTTTCATTTAAAATGTTCCTAAAGTATTCCCATTTTCCTCAGTGTTCAATGGTTCTAAAATTTGGCTCCATTTAATATCTTGTAGTATTGAGCGTAAATTAGCAAAATTGGCACTTTTGAACTCTAGTGTGTTTGTACTACCCTTGTACCTCCTTAACCTATGATTTATGCTGAATATAAATATCCTGTGATCACTTGTTCAATAAGGGGAGACCTATGCACCGTGTACAGTCCTATGTGAACAAGTAAAAAAAATGAGGGTTCAGTCAAGTGAACCTCCAGCTGCAGTGTGAAGTAAAACATTTAGCAGTGGTATTATTACCACTACTATATGTAACAGCTTCCTCCTGGTTGTTAGGGAGCCGGCAGCAGTTGGCATCCTAACAACCATGCTTACCCATCACATTCAGCTGTCAGCCAGGGATACCTGACTAACAGGTGAATGAGGACAAACAGCATGGATAGTGTTAAAAAAAGACATAGGGACCCTTAGAATCTGGTAAGGATTTGAACAGGGAACCCAATGCAAAAAACAAGAACAAAACTACTCTGTGTTCATTGGTGATTAGCCATTGTCTCCTAGGGGAGGTCACATGTTCCCTCATGCCGGCTATTCCTGGCACTGAACAAAGTGGTGATAGAGCGAGCTAATGGCAATATTGTGGGGTTGGGAGGACTAAAGCAATCCTGTTGCATTGCTCTGAATGGGAAAAGTGTTGGTTTGCTTTATTAAAAAAAGCAGAGGCCTCAGTTGCCTACAACACAGAATCCATATATTCTAACAAGGCCGGAGGTATGAATATGTGAGTACAAAGAGTACACAGATAGCAGCAATGGCTTTTTATTTTTGGAGAGGGGAGGGAAGAGGAAGTCTTCATTGAATGATCCAATCTCTGATTTTTGCATGCTTCTATATTTATTAGATTGCATGTTTGATGTAATATATTCTCAATGTTTCTATTTTGTAAAAAAATGATCCGTAAGGGGCAAAACCAAAAGCAGAATAAACATCTTGCCGAGCTTCATGAGAATGCGGCGGCAGATTAATTACAAGGAGACGCTGCGGCATTTCTCCCCATTGTATCGTTGTGATTTCTCACCCCTTGCAGAGTTACAATGTGTAGTGTGGAGTTTTTAAAAATTACAGCCATGGCAGACTCTGCTGGGGTACGGTCTTGTCTGAATGAAAAGATTGAGCAGTTTAATTTATCCAGACTCCGGATGTCGGATGAAGCCACTGGCTCCGTCTGTGGACTGAGGAGTTACAGAAATGTGGGGCGGTCGGTCGGTTGAATGCGAGATGTAGGAGTGCGGCAAAAGGTGTAAGAGAAATGATAACTTAAAGTGATAGTAAAGTCTGTTTTTGTACTTACCTACAGGTAAGACTATAATAAGGTTAACCTATAGGTACTGTAAATATATTCTAAACATGCAACGTTTAGGAGATATTAACTTGTAAAGCAGCACTGGCGCATGCACTTTGAAGGAACAGCACAGGCATGTGCATGGGCAGCTGTGTGCAGGGGCGGACTGACAACTCATGGGTCCCCCGGGCAATAGTTGATCATGGGGCCCCTGTGTCCTTGCCCAAACTCAAAAAAGCCTATGAAAAAGGTACCAGGGGCATCTCATGGGGCCCCCTACTGACCCCGGGCCCTCGGGCAGTGCCCGAGTTTCCAAATGGTCAGTCAGCCCCTGGCTGTGTGCCATAAAAAGTAAATCCTGCGCGCATCACAGGAGTGACGTCATTTCGGCTTGGCCATTCAAGCTGCTGGAGCATGCGAACCCAGAAGAAGGACCGTGTGAAGATGGAAGCCCTGTCAGCGCGCCACTGAAGGTTGGGATCAGGGGCGGACTGACAACTCTTGGGGCCCCCGGGCAATAGGGGATCATGGGGCCCCTGTGTCCTTGCCCAAACTAAAAAAAACCTATGAAAAAGGTACCAGGGGCATTCATGGGGCCCCCTACTGACCCCAGGCCCTCGGGCAGTGCCAAATTTCCAAATGGTCAGTCTGTCCCTGGTTGGGATGCACCAAAATTTCGGCAACTGAAACATATCGGCCAAAAATAGTCCTATTGGCTTTCTGCAGGTAAGAAAAAAAGAGCCGATACAGGTGCCGATAAATGTGGCCTGAGGGGCGAACTGATTATTTGGCCATGGAAACTCATTCCATGAATCTCTCTATGCACTGTTGTTGTGCTAATCTGAAGGCCACATGAAGTTTGGAGGTCTTTAGCTATTGACTCTACAGACAGTTGGCATCTTCTGCGCACTGTGAGCTTCAGTATGCGCTGACCCCACTCTCTCATTTTACGTGGCCTACCACTTCGTGGCTGAGTTGCTGTTGTTCCCAGTAGCTTCCACTTTGTTATAATACCACTAACAGTTGACCATGGAATATTTAGTAGCAAGGAAATTTCACGGATGGACTTATTGCACAGGTGGCAACCTATCACGGTACCATGCTTGAATTCACTGAGCTCCTGAGAGTGACCCATTCTTTCACAAATGTTTGTAGAAGCAGTCTGCATGCCTAGGAGCTTGATTTTATACACCTGCGGCCATGGAGGTGATTGGAACACCTGAATCCAATGATTTGAAGGGTGTCCCAATACATTTGGCAATATAGTGTAGCTCCAAGAAGAAGCTGTCATTAGCTCTGCTGCTAAAGTAAACAAAGGGATGGGCTCACCCAGTGACATTACCCAGTGACCCCGCCCCTTTGTTTACTTTAGTAGCAGTGTGAATGATAGCTCCCTCTCCATGCTATAAAGTGAAGAAAAAAAAAAAAGCCGGCAATTGCATTTAAAAATCGGTAATTACATTTAGCGGCAGCAAGTGAGTGAGTCTGTCTGTATACACTTATCCCTCACTGTATACACTGCTCCTCTCCTGCCACCTCTTTGCACACATTGCCCCTTACAAAGAGGACCTGTCACTTATATGCTATCACTTAGGGGACTAAGGGACTAAAAATTTTGAGCCTCCCCACCCCCGCATACACAGACATTTCAGTTTCGGTTTTCGCCCATTGCCTTGCAGAGGAAAAGTTTTTTGGTTTTTTTTTTTTAAATACAAGGTCTACTGCCGCTTTAAAGGGAATCTCCAGTACAAAAAAAATTTGCTGGAGGTTCCAGCAGAGGAATAATTCTTCCTTTAAAGCAGTATTAAATGCAAAAGCAAACACTTAATATATTGCAGCTTACTGATTCTTAGATGTGATAGCTGCATCCATTTACTTTTTTAGGCTTTTTTCCTTTATTTTTATCTGGTGATCTAACCAATAAGTCTGTTGTTTTTCAAAAGAAGAAGCTGTCCTGCAGATGTATCAGTTACAGGGATGAAACAAATAATTTATTACTGCCACGGATGCTTACTATGAACAGCTTTAATTTATTTATTTAAAATAAACCCAAACAGGAAAAAAAACCTGTTTGCCGTAACTGCTTATAAAGCGTTAGCTGGAGTTCAGCTTCAAGTTGTCATTGTATCTAAATCTGCTAGTACATCTAACACTCCCCTCCCCCCAGATTGACAATGTTGCTGTGCACCTTGTGCTTATTCATCCAGAGTTGGGGCACTCTAATACAGGAGGTGTGTTACTGGCCTGATCACCAGGTGAAAACAAAGATAAAAAAAGTCTAAAAAAGAAAACTAATGCAGCTATCACATCTAATGACTGGTAAGCTGCAATATATTACATTTTCAGTTTTGGATTTAATACCGCTTTAATGGCTCTTTCACACTGGCTGCTGGGGTTGGAGGGGAGGATGGTGAAGTAAAAGCAGGTGGCTGAGCCGTGGTTTTACCTTCCCCAGGCTGCCCACTGGAATTCTAAGATTACAGCCTGACAGGTCTGTACGCTTGCTGCGGCTCAATACTTTGCTTTGCAGCTACTGCAATTTCAAATCAGGCTGTAGAGTTTGACAGGCAGCACCCCCACTCAAACTTACCCATTTAGATCAATGGGGCTGTGCCACAACCACAAGCCAAATACTTGGCTTACAGTGTAAAATTTCCATTTGTAAACTGAAGATAAAAACAAAAACAGGCATCAGGAGGTGACAGTAGCGCTCAGAGTTCTCGGAGCACACTAGAAACCAAGCAAAAGCACAATGGCAGCTGAAGGTATCCAATGTGTCCCCATGCCAAATCCAGTTTTGTTTTGCAAGCTAGCTGGTAAGAGTGCTGGGAAAAATTTCTGGCTCTTTTTGGAATGTGCAAAGCCCCTCCATGTGCACCTTACTCCAATGGCTAGTTAGAGATTGGGGTGGTTGCCATTTATTGTATAGCTTGTTTGCTGGATTTGGCATGCTCAGATGATAGAGCTAGGACCGCACTATGCAGAGGAGCCTCAGCAAGGCACTGCGGCCTTACATATATTTGCAATATTGTGCAACGAAACCTTGTGTTATTACTGTGCATTGTTAGACCGGATCAGTTGTTTTTTTTGCAGGCTGGTTGGTAAGTGTGCTAGGAAATGTTAGGGGTTTTTTTTTGAATGTGCAAAGCCCTTCCATGAGCACCTTACTACAGAGGCTAGTTATAAATTGGGGTGGTTGCCATTTATTGTATAGCTTGTTTGCTGGATTTGGCGTGCTCAGATGATAGAGCTAGGACCGCACTATGCAGAGGAGCCTCAGCAAGGCACTGCACCTTACATATATTTGCAATATTGTGCAACGAAACCTTGTGTTACTACTGTGCATTGTTAGACCGGATCAGTTTGGTTTTTTGCAGGCTGGTTGGTAAGTGTGCTAGGAAATGTTAGGGGTTTTTTTTGAATGTGCAAAGCCCTTCCATGTGCACCTTACTACAGAGGTTAGTTATAAATTGGGGTGGTTGCCATTGTTTTGTGCAGCAGGGGCATTCCCTGTACAGCAAAGCCTAGGCTGGGAATAGAAGCAGCACAAGAAACCACTTAGTCGTGCTGTAGTACACATGTCAAAAATATATATCCCAGCACCAAAAAGAAAATACTAAGTGATTATGCAGCTGTGCAACAGTGAAAACCACCAATAATCAAACAAACAAAAAAAAGCAGCGCAAAATCTACAAAACAAAATTACACAAGTGAACAAAAATAAAATTAAAAATAACAATAAGTGTCCATGTGAAAATAAGTCCTTATTCCCGTCAAGATCAATAGTAAATTATTCAAAATGTGCTTCCACCTGTCCACCACGTGAAAAAATAATATTGACCGCACTCACCAGATAGAGGTGAGTAATGAGCCTTATAGGAAATAAGGGATCCTATAACCCCTCCAAAAGAGATCAAATCTTCTTTTTTCACCCTGATTGGGAATAATAATCGCCTCCACTTTATTCCTCCATGGAATCTCTTAGTGAAGCGTCTTACACAATCCCTTCTCTGTGGCTGGACTGATGATGGAGGTAACTCTTGCTCAGAAAAGATTCCTTTCACACATTTTTACATGACTCATTTTAGAAGTCCTGAAACTTAGAAGCAGAGGGGGATAAACCCTCCCACTCTTCAATGATTTTGCTGGCTCCTTCCAAGGCTCAAGCTTTATTTGCTCCCCTTCGTACTTGGTTGGTCCCTATTGAGTTGTTTCATTCATTGTAAAAATGTGTGAAAGGAATCTTTTATGAGCAAGAGTTACCTCCATCATCAGTCCAGCCACAGAGAAGGGATTGTGTAAGACGCTTCACTAAGAGATTCCATGGAGGAATAAAGTGGAGGCGATTATTATTCCCAATCAGGGTGAAAAAGAAGATTTGATCTCTTTTGGAGGGGTTATAGGATCCCTTATTTCCTATAAGGCTCATTACTCACCTCTATCTGGTGAGTGCGGTCAATATTATTTTTCACGTGGTGGACAGGTGGAAGCACATTTTGAATAATTTACTATTGGTCTTGACGGGAATAAGGACTTATTTTCACATGGACACTTATTGTTATTTTTAATTTTATTTTTGTTCACTTGTGTAATTTTGTTTTGTAGATTTTGCGCTGTTTTTTTTTTTGTTTGTTTGTAGTACAAATGTGCTAATAAAGGAACATGCTACCAGGAGGAGACAGCAGAGTGACAGAGAAATTAACTCATCAGTTTGCTGCTTCTTCTTATCGGCCAGTCACTGGCTGGAAGACTGATCAGACCTGTAAGCAATACAGAACTGCAGCAGACATAAAACAGGTCTCCTTTCCTGCTAGACAGGAAGGTGCTGTGTGACAAAGCTGTCTTCATCTCAGGTCTGGATGGACAGAAGATCAAATCCTTTGGAAGGTATAAACGCTTCCATATATGTATTTCCTCTGTGTATTTAGCTGTTTACTGGCTTTAAACAAGATTTTGATCATTTTGAGTGCTCCCGCAGCTTCCGTCAAGTGTTTTGAAAGGCTAAGTGTTCAGCCAGCTATAAGGCTCAAATAAACAGTGCCCCTTTATTATGTATCCCTTTCATATCTATCTTTATATCTCTTTCTTACCGCTCTTACTAAATGTTCACTATGAAAAGATTTTAGCGCTGACACTTTTCAATCCTTTTCATCCAACCCCAGGGGTACTCATCTCCTCAGTATTCACAACATAAGATCTCCTCGCCTTTCACAGTCCGTACATGAAAACTCTGCTCATCCGAGGAGCTGTTCTATAATTCAGCCAGTCACAAGTGGCTGGGGAAGCTCTTGACCTCAAACGCCGCCACTGCAAATTAAGTCACATTTACACATCTGTCGGCGTGCTATTTAGTGTGATATCTC